GTTAGTGGTGGGAGGGTGTTGTTAGTGGTGGGAGGGTGTTGTTAGTGGTGGGAGGGTGTTGTTAGTGGTGGTAGGGTGTTGTTAGGGTGTTGTTAGTGGTGGTAGGGGGAGGGTGTTGTTAGTGGTGGGAGGGAGGTTGTTAGTGGTGGGAGGGTGTTGTTAGTGGTGGGAGGGTGTTGTTAGTGGTAGGGTGTGTTAGTGGTGGGAGGGTTGTTAGTGGTAGGGTGTGGTGTGGAGGGTGTTGTTAGTGGTAGGGTGTTGTTAGTGGTGGAGGGTGTTGTTAGTGGTGGGAGGGTGTTGTTAGTGGTGGGAGGGGTGTTGTTAGTGGTGGTGGAGGGTGTTGTTAGTGGGGTGTTGTTAGTGGTGGGAGGGTGTTGTTAGTGGTGTGGAGGGTGTTGTTAGTGGTTAGGGTGTTGTTAGTGGTGGTAGGGTGTTGTTAGTGGTGGGAGGGGTTGTTAGGGTGGGAGGGTGTTGTTAGTGGGAGGGGGTTAGGGTGTTGTTAGTGGTGGGAGGGTGTTGTTAGTGGTGGGAGGGTGTTGTTGTGGTAGGGTGTTGTTAGTGGTGGTTAGTGGGGGAGGGTGTTGTTAGTGGTGGGAGGGTGTTGTTAGTGGTGGGGAGGGTGTTGTTAGTGGTGGGAGGGTGTTGTTAGTGGTGGGAGGGTGTTGTTAGTGGTGGGAGGGTGTTGTTAGTGGTGGGAGGGTGTTGTTAGTGGTGGGAGGGTGTTGTTAGTGGTGGGGTGTTGTTAGTGGTGGGAGGGTGTTGTTAGTGGTAGGGTGTTGTTAGTGGTGGGAGGGTGTTGTTAGTGGTGGGAGGGTGTTGTTAGTGGTTAGTGGTGTGGAGGGTGTTGTTAGTGGTGGGAGGGTGTTGTTAGTTAGTGTTGTTAGTGGTGGGAGGGTTGTTAGTGGTGGGAGGGTGTTGGTGGTGGTAGGGTGTTGTTAGTGGTGGGAGGGTGTTGTTAGTGGTGGGAGGGTGTTGTTAGTGGTGGGAGGGTGTTGTTAGTGGTGGGAGGGTGTTGTTAGTGGTGAGAGGGTGTTGTTAGTGGTGGGAGGGTGTTGTTAGTGGTGGGAGGGTGTTGTTAGTGGTGGGAGGGTGTTGTTAGTGGTGGGAGGGTGTTGTTAGTGGTGGGAGGGTGTTGTTAGTGGTGGGAGGGTGTTGCCAGTGGTGGGAGGGTGTTGCCAGTGGTATTTACCTGAGTTTACCTCAGGGCCACTAACACTCTAGTGGCCTCGATGAGGATAGGAATACTTTGTTCTGATGATTTTTTTCAATCTGGGTTTTAAAGTTCAACAGTTTTGGTATTGACGGCTTGGGCGGGTAGGCGGTTCCATGAGTTAATAACCCTGTGGGTGAAGAAACATCTGGTGTTCTCAGTCCAACATTGTGGCTTGTTGATCTGGCGACTGTTGCTCCTTGTTTGTGTTACATCTGACACCTTCTGAAGACATTGTCCGGATCAACATGCTCCAAATTGTTCAGTATTTTGAAAGTGTTGATGAGATCCGCCCTATCATGTCTGGTTTATGTTCCTCAACTACCGCTCACAGGATGAGTATGGGGTGCACAATAAACTACCACTCACAGGAGGAGTATGGGGTGCACAATAAACTACCACTCACAGGAGGCGTATGGGGTGCACAATAAACTACCACTCACAGGAGGAGTATGGGGTGCACAATAAACTACCACTCACAGGAGGAGTATGGGGTGCACAATAAACTACCACTCACAGGAGGAGTATGGGGTGCACAATAAACTACCACTCACAGGAAGAGTATGGGGTGCACAATAAACTACCACTCACAGGATGAGTATGGGGTGCACAATAAACTACCACTCACAGGAGGAGTATGGGGTGCACAATAAACTACCACTCACAGGAGGAGTATGGGGTGCACAATAAACTACCACTCACAGGAGGAGTATGGGGTGCACAATAAACTACCACTCACAGGAGGAGTATGGGGTGCACAATAAACTACCACTCACAGGAGGAGTATGGGGTGCACAATAAACTACCACTCACAGGAGGAGTATGGGGTGCACAATAAACTACCACTCACAGGAGGAGTATGGGGTGCACAATAAACTACCACTCACAGGAGGAGTATGGGGTGCACAATAAACTACCACTCACAGGAGGAGTATGGGGTGCACAATAAACTACCACTCACAGGAGGAGTATGGGGTGCACAATAAACTACCACTCACAGGAGGAGTATGGGGTGCACAATAAACTACCACTCACAGGATGAGTATGGGGTGCACAATAAACTACCACTCACAGGAGGAGTATGGGGTGCACAATAAACTACCACTCACAGGAGGAGTATGGGGTGCACAATAAACTACCACTCACAGGAGGAGTATGGGGTGCACAATAAACTACCACTCACAGGAGGAGTATGGGGTGCACAATAAACTACCACTCACAGGAGGAGTATGGGGTGCACAATAAACTACCACTCACAGGAGGAGTATGGTGTGAATTACATATGAATTACATTCATATGTAATCAGTCTCCGTGGTGTAGTGGTAAGACACTCGCCTGGCGTTCCGCGAGCGCTATGTCATGGGTTCGTATCCTGGCCGGGGAGGATTTACTGGGCGCAATTCCTTAACTGTAGCCTCTGTTTAACGCAACAGTAAAATGTGTACTTGGATGAAAAAACTATTCTTCGCGGCAGGGAATCGTATTCCAGGGTCCTGCCCGAAACGCTACGCGTACTAGTGGCTGTACAAGAATGTAACAACTCTTGTATATATCTCAAATATCTCCAAATTCATAAGTAAAAACAGTCCCTCTTAAACTATTAAATGCTCGTTTTCTTTAGTGTCCGAGGATTAAATTAAAAAAAACTAAATATTTTTAAGGGTAGTCCTCTCTAGTTGCATTGATAGGGACATGAAGGTTCTTGATTTCTTAGGTTCCATCCTTTTCATTGATCTTGGGTTCTATAATAGTATTTACTCCGGCTGGTTCAAGATGTACGCTTTGGCTGATGCTCTGTTTGGGAATTTGATCATCATTTGTTGTCATGGGAAGCTCGCTGGCTGCTTCCGACAGTCCAAATGATTCGTGGAAATCTTTAGGGGCTTTTTACATATTTATTTATTTTGAACACGTGAAAAAAATCTATTAACAATCCCGCGACCCAAAGCGATATATGTTGTTGTTGATGATTTAGGGGCGACGACGATCGAGGGATCGGATGCGTCCCGGTGTACCCGTGAAGGGTGAATCCCGAAGCCAGGAAAAGTGAAACGCCAAGCCTAATCGCGAAACGAGTGACGCCAATCACTAGAAACTAATATGCCATACGGCAAATAAACGCACAGTCAGGCAGATGATTGGGGAGTCCCAGGAGTCCCTCAGGGTGACAAGCACCGGCCCCGCTCCACACAGAGAACACCAAGTAGCAAAACCAAAACTCTGCCCCCAACTAAAACGCAGTCATCCAGTGTCTTCCGGCAGAGCAGACTACGACTGAGGGCACACCAGGAGCCCACCACGACTGAGGGCACACCAGGAGCCCACCACGACTGAGGGCACACCAGGAGCCCACCACGACTGAGGGCACACCAGGAGCCCACCACGACTGAGGGCACACCAGGAGCCCACCACGACTGAGGGCACACCAGGAGCCCACCACGACTGAGGGCACACCAGGAGCCCACCACGACTGAGGGCACACCAGGAGCCCACCACGACTGAGGGCACACCAGGAGCCCACACCAGGAGCCCACCACGACTGAGGGCACGACTGAGGGCACACCACCAGGAGCCCACCACGACTGAGGGCACACCAGGAGCCCACCACGACTGAGGGCACACCAGGAGCCCACCACGACTGAGGGCACCACTACGGGCACACCAGGAGCCCACCTGACTGAGGGCACACCAGGAGCCCACCACGACTGAGGGCACACCAGGAGCCCACCACGACTGAGGGCACACCAGGAGCCCACCACGACTGAGGGCACACCAGGAGCCCACCCGACTGAGGGCACACCACACCAGGAGCCCACCACGACTGAGGGCACACCAGGAGCCCACCACGACTGAGGGCACACCAGGAGCCCACCACGACTGAGGGCACACCAGGAGCCCACCACGACTGAGGGCACACCAGGAGCCCACCACGACTGAGGGCACACCAGGAGCCCACGAAGACTGAGGGCCCACCAGGAGCCCACCACGACTGAGGGCACACCAGGAGCCCACCACGACTGAGGGCACACCAGGAGCCCACCACGACTGAGGGCACACCAGGAGCCCACCACAACTGAGGGCACACCAGGAGCCCACCAAGACCCACCAACCCCCAGCACCTCTCGGCCAAGCCGGCCCCTGAACACCGTCACCCCGCCAGGAGAACCAACCAGTACACGTCAAAAAAAAAACATAAAATAAATAAATAAATAAATAAATGGTTATTCAGGTAAAGTACATACATACAAGAGGTTTTACAAAAATTTATAGATTTATAGATAGAGCTAGTACATACAATGCCTAAAGCCACTATTACGCAAAGCGTTTCGGGGCAGGAAAAACATTAAAGACTAAAACTTAATACTAAATCTATCAAGAAACCTGTGACCCAAGGCGATATGTGCGCCGGGCGTCGTACAATCAGACCGCTGAAGAGCGATACCAAACGGCAGTAGCAAAGCGAAAATAAGACGTGATCAGGCGGCTCCCAGGAGGTGTCCAGACGTCCGCTCGGCCTTAAGATTGAACCAGGAGTCCCCAAAGCGATATATGCCCCGAAATGCTTTGCGTAATAGTGGCTTTAGGCATTGTATGTACTAGCTCTATCTATAAATCTATTAATTTTTGTAAAACCTTTGTATGTATGTACTTTACCTGAATAAATATTTATTTATTTATTTATTATTTATGCGCCAGGCGTCGGAGTCCCACACAGCCTTGTGCTGTAGCTGCCCCTGATCCTCTAACAACAACAAAGGTAAAAGTGCTCTAGCTGCCCCTAACTCACAAACGTAAATATCACAAGTTGTATTAAGTTTCTTGTTAAGATGTGCTGCACATGCTGCTTATTAAGATGTACAGCTTAGAGTATGATACAAGGAGAAGAAGGGATATTTAATGTCAGAGGTTATTATACAGTAATGTTTTCATATACATTGTAGGATGTAGGACTGAGAACAGGAGATGCCTTTTCCCCCCACAGGGCTATTAATTAACTCGTGGAACCGCCTACCCGCCGAATCTGTATCTGCCAAAACTGTGTCGAACTTTAAAATATACTTAGAAACGATCATCAAGGCAAATAGGGAGACCTTCGACAAGCCTCCGGCTTCCTGTCCTAACTGTCCTAACCCTAGGCCACTAGAGTTAATGGCCCTCAGGTAAATACAGTACAAGGGAACAGCAGTAACTGTTTAGCCAATTAGAGGAAAGAAGTGAAGGCAGTCAGAAAGGCCACAGGCAGGTAGGCTCCAGGAAGACCGCAGGCAGGTAAGCTCCTGGGAGGCGGCAGGCAGGTAGGCTCCAGGAAGACCGCAGGCAGGTAAGCTCCTGGGAGGCGGCAGGCAGGTAGGCTCCAGGAAGACCGCAGGCAGACAAATTAAAATCTTTGCATCAGTGTATATACAGCAGTGCTTGTGCTGTGTGCAGCAGTCATGCACCAGTACAGTATCATACTTTAAACTGAAACAACATTCCAATCAGCTGGCAACAATGACATTGTTGATTTGTTTCATGCTGTTTTGGACAGCAGTTCATATTAAAAACGTGCAGCACTCTTTGAGAAGTTACTTGAGAATATCTAAATTATCAACCTGTACCAAAACTAAGGATTGTGGATATGTTGAATACAGGACCATGAAATGCTGCACTACTTGCATTAAGTATACTACGTAACATTCTGAACCTTAGACAAATAATGCCAGTGCATCTAGGATATAATACAGCCATTGAATTTGTAAACCAGCTTACAAAATATTGTATATATGAAAATACTGTATTAAAAGATGCAGGCTATTGCTTCTCAGTGTATATTGCTTGAACAGTATTAGATTGTCATTTTAATGTATCCTGATCATGCTCTAAAATTAGTTGTTTCCAGGCCAGGTGTGATGTATAGGTAAAGAACTGGGATATCTAGATGAAGATGGAAGTAACTCGCTGTATTCCAAGCTGCTATATGTGCCTGTAACTTTCAATTCCAGTACTGTATGACAATACTGTACATCATATTAAAGTCAGTGACTAAAATGTTCAAGAAAAGCAGCGTTTTGGTTGGATCTCAACAATATAGAATCCTCAGGAGGGGGTGTGCCCAGTATGGCTTTGTTCCAAAGCACAGCCCATGTCAGGATTGGGCACTGGCCCAGATGCAAGAGTTTATCAACAGTAATAAGAAGTTGTTTGTGCTGACTGGAGCAGGCATCTCGACAGAGAGTGGCATTCCAGACTACCGCTCAGAAGGAGTAGGTTTATATGCAACTAGCACCAAAAGGCCTGTGCAGATTAAGGTAAGTTTTATCATAGCACATTCTTATTCCATCAAAGACATAAGGTTACATAGCCTTGTCTCAGCAGACTTTATTTACTATTTTAATATTTTAGATGTGAAAAATGTGCATTGACAGTCAACTACCATTTGTTTATGAGTTTGCAGTCCCAAAGATCCCATTAGGTACATGAAGGAGAGAGAGGAAAGGACAGCCTGCACATAAGGTGTATGAAAGTGAGAGGTGGACAGTGAGCATATAAGGTGGATAAAGATGAAAGAGTAAGGGACATCCTGCATATAAGGTGGATGAAGATGAGAGAGTAAGGGACATCCTGCATATAAGGTGGATGAAGTGAGAGAGGAAGGGACAGCCTGCATATAAGGTGGATGAAGTGAGAGAGGAAGGGACAGCCTGCATATAAGGTGGATGAAGTGAGAGAGGAAGGGACAGCCTGCATATAAGGTGGATGAAGATGAGAGATAGGGACAGCCTGCTTTGTTTTTGTTGGCTTTGGTCTCTGGGGGATGGGTCGGTGAGCTTCATGCAGCTGTCTTCTTCTTTTCTGGTGAAGAATGAGATGGCTGGCTTCCAAAGGGGTCCGTGGGTTGTCGATGCTTGGTTGGTCATGCCGGGGGTGCTTCATGTTTTGTGTCCGGTGGCAACTTTTTGCAGCTACCTGCGTACCACTGCTTCTGTGTCTGTGGATGCACTTTAGATGGACCTGGTTTCCTTTGTTCTCTGTTCCAAGGCTCGGGTCTCTCAGGTTGTCCTCAGGGTTATTAAGTCTAGCCAGCCTGCAGTCTACCCTCGTGCCCATGATGTTCGGAAGTTTGCAGCTCTTGCTGCGGTCATTGGTAACATGTCTTGGGTTGACATTCGTGCACGGGGGTTTTGGCGTTCGAACAGGATCCTGGCCGCCCATTATTTGGTTAATGTTCTGGGTCCTCAGTGAGCCTGTGTGGCTTTGGGGTGCCTATCGTGGCCAGCTGTCTCGTCTTCATCCTGAGGGACACGGCACGGCCGCCTCCCGGGTAAGTTCCTGCTTACTTATCTGTGGGTATCTAGCTTCAGGGAGCCAACAAAGCTCCCCACAGAAAACCTTTGTTTTGAATGTAGTGAAACTCCATTTTCTGGGTGAGCCACGGAGGCTCCCTGACACCCTCCGGTTGCCAATTTTTCTTTTTGTTTGCTCGGTCTCCGAACTGAGGGGCGAGCAGCCCCCCCAGTTCGGGGGGGGGGGGAGCTGCTCCCCTCCCTCTCCCGGGTGATAGGGGGGTGCAAACGAGCAGTGCATCAGTTTGATAACGTTTTGCTTGTTGCATAGTTTTTCTTGGGGAGAGTTCTTGGACTCTGTTCGTTCTACCAGTAGTGGTTTGTTTTGCGATGCCTACCTTTCTGGGTGCCTTACCCGCTCGATGGCAGACACGAATATACTCTCAAAGAGTGGTGTTCTCATAGGCCATTGCTCCCTGCACCTCTCTGAAGGAACCAGGTTTTGGCTCGTGGTTTCCGGTAGGTAAGAACTCCATGTAACTGAAGCCCCAGACTAATATAGCATATATCAGTCCAATAGCTTCTGGGAGCTGATGGAGCTCACCCAAAAAATGGTGTTTCATTACATTCATTGCTGGTTTGTTTGTGAAACCCCCCTGGATATTATGTATTTTTCAAAGTTAAGGCTAATTTTTTTTTAATTACCTAACTGTAATTTCCTAAGTGTATTTACAGGATGAGAGCTATGCTCGTGGTGTCCCGTCGTCTACCCAGCACTCTTTGTCATATAATGCTTTTAAGCTACTGATGGTTTTGGCCTCCACCACCTTCTCACTTGTTCCAACCGTCTACCACTCTGTTTGCGAAAGTGAATTTTCTTATATTTCTTCAGTATCTTTCTTTAGTTAGTTTAAGTTTACGTTAAGAGTTTAGTTAGTTGTGCTAGCCCCCCCCCTTAACATTGTCCTTGTGGTTTCAGTGGCAATGTTAAGAGGACTAGCACAGTAATGCTCAGAACGAGGCATTTCATATCACTAGGTTCTGTTCTTAGTAGATCAGTTGTTTATTTTATGAAAGAAAAGTGCAGTATATTTCCTCACCTCTAAAAATTATAAATTTTCCAGCACTTCATGGAATCATCTAAAGCTCGGCAGAGCTACTGGGCAAGAAATTACATGGGATGGCCACGATTCTCATCCTTTAAACCAAATATATCACACACAACTCTAGCTGAGTGGGAGAGGAGAGGAAAAATTCACTGTATTGTAACCCAGAATGTTGATCGATTACATCATAAGGCAGGAAGTTGCAAGGTTCATGAACTTCATGGTAATTTGCGGTGTAAATTTTTTTTTAATGTGGCATGTTTAAATTCCCTGTTGGTTTGTGTATTCTCTCAGATACCTGTGTTTAAATAAGATGTAGCTGACTGTAGCGAAGATTTCAATATTGGCACTTGTAGAAGAATGGGTGTATATATTCAAAATATTGCACCTCTCTACTTGTGGCCTGTATGCCTTGTGGTATTTTGCTCTGGTGCTTTGGAGTCATCAGGAAATGGCTCTAGCTTGTCAATTTGAAATTTGTCAGATTATACAGTTGTTCATTTATAGCACTTAAATATATGTAGGACAGAGATCATATAATTGATGGAAGAGCTGCAGCATGTGTCCACGCCCAGCTGTAGCATCGACTCGTTATATTCAGCTACCACTCATGTTACTGAAAGTGTGATATAGGAATTGAATAAGAGACAATTGTTGGGAATTATGTATGGCATTACATTAACAAATGTAATGTTAATGATTTAACAGAAAATGCTATTTTACGTTAAATCTCAGTCAGGAACATTTTCTGTGGGGAGCCCCTTCGGCTCCCTGGAGCTATCGGGCTAATATACGAAATATTATTCGTGAGAATCAGTCAATTGGAGTTCAGCCTACCAGAGATGATGAGCCAGAACCTGGCCCCCCCCCCCCTCAGAGAGAAACAGGGAGCAATGGCCTATGGAAACCCCCCCCCCCCATGTGGTTGGGAGCATTCCATGTCTGCCATCAACCGGGATCAGGCACCCAGAAAGGTAGGCATAATAAAACAGACCCCCACTTGGTAAGAAATTGCAACTGAAGACTGAACAAAGAGGCAGAATTCCCCCTCAAAGAAAAAAGCAAGCCTACCTGTCTGGGTGCCTAACCACGGTTGATGGCAGACATGGAATGCTCCCAACCACATGGGGAGGTTTCCATAGGCCATTGTTGCCTGTGCCTCTCTGAGGGGGCCAGGTTCTGACTCGTGGTCCCCGGTAGGTTGAACTCCAATTGACTGATGCCCCCAGACTAATATATCATATATTAGTTCAATAGCTACAGGGAGCCTCCAGGGCTCACCCAGAAAGTGGTGTGTCATTACATTCAACGGTGTTTTTTTGCCAACAGGTACAGCGTTCAACGTGATATGCATGACCTGCAACCATATGGTCGCTCGTCACACCTACCAAAGTAAATTGAGAGAAACTAACCAACATATGTCTGCGGTGTCCCTGGAAATACGACCTGATGGAGATGTTGAACTCACCAAGGTATACTGTATAATCACTCTGCTTGCTTTTTTGTTTTTTCCTTATTACAATACTTATTTCTACTTTACTTCCAGTTTATATACATATTTTCTGGGTTGGCCACTTGTTGACTTCCAGAAGATAACTACCTAATTAGCTTCCAGTATACCATGCCCCACCCGGTTTTTGCACAAGTCATAAAAGCCTACTGGAGACCAGAAACAGAATCTGATCACTCAATAGAAATGCAGAGTCTGGGGATACTAGATGAACTCCAGCCAAGAGAAAAACCACAAGAAAGGTAGAGCACTCCAAAACAAGCAACTTTAAGGGTGAATATTATACAAATAATATAAACACAACAAACATAAGAAATATAAGCACAATTGAAAAAATATGAGAACGATCATAAGCTAGCTACTGTTGCTATTGCTGCCGCTAGTCACCACTGCTAGCTATTGCCATTAGTTATTCTTCCCTGCCACCACCAGCCTGGAGGTTCAACCGACAATAACCCTCAGTCATTCACCTGGTGTGATTAATGCTTTTTCCGTTCACCACTACCCTTCAGGTCCTAGTTTCCAGATAAGTATTGGCTATCTTTTTTGGACTCTGTCCTGCAGGGATGTGTGTATTTTATCTGTTCAAATTTCATGTATCACTTCATGAATGTGTGGACTCAGAGTCAGCTGTTCACTTCGACTACATGTGGCTAGAGATATCACTCTCTAGCTGTTCATTTGCATTGCCTTTGCACAGTCTGAGTTACTTCCCTGGGAGGTTCAGGTGCCTGATCTTTTGAAGCTTCCTCCTGTCAAGAGAGACTCCCTTCAAGTAGTTCATGAGCTTTGCAACTCTGCAGGGATAGGGGTAGGGGCAGGGTGGTGTGATTGTTTTGTTTTGGGGGTGTGCAGTGAGATTTGTGAGGCAGCTTTGAGTCATGCACTGCTTGTACCCTGCTTCTCTACCATGTTTTAAACAATGCTCAATGTCTTTACACTAATGCAACCCCACTAACTTTTTCCTTGCTGGTGCTATAAAGTTCCCGACCAGTCTTAGCGTGGTTATGTTATGAACTTTACATCTTCTGTGTGTGGGTTTTTTAGGATCCTGTGCAGCTTTGATGGATGCTGATTGCCATTTTTTCTGCCTTTACCAAACTGCCTGTTGGGTGAATTTTTTCATCCTTGGGCTTGCTTGTCATTGTACATTGTACTTAAGTACAAATGTACTTACTTTGGCTGCAGTAGTGTCCAAAAAATGGAGTATGACATCACGGCTCGGTGGTCGTCCATGGTGTAGATTCCCGGAGGCAGTCGTGCGCCAGGTTCAACAAGTGCGAGTTCCTACAAATATTTTCTTGTTCATTTTTTCCGCACAATTACAAATGCATTTCTTTTTTTTTCTGGCTAATCCTATGTATATTGAACAGGTTTACAGTAGTAAGGCAGTAGAACATCCGTACTGTTCAAAGAAACTGTGTTACATGTATCATAAATGTGTCCACAAACATTGTTTATATTTCCTATATTACATGTTCAATTATTTACATTTACAACTTATTTACACACTGTACACTATCACAGACTATATACATCACCTATCAACATACTTAAAACTGCGCGAGTGTGTGATAGTCACTTAAGCAGTCAACGTGGCACAGTGGAACTTTGCACTCAACGCACCAAGTGCAGATGGATCTTCGTTTCTGTTCCTTACGTTGCGTGTTCTTTCAAACAACACAGGAACGTTTACCCTTTTCATGTTTTCCTCTGCTTGGCATATAACCAGGCTTGTATACAGCAAGGTAATCTTTACACCTGAGTCTGTCAGGAAGTGTGTGAGGCATTGTTGCAGGCACCCCATGTGGCACAACACTGCCCTCCACCCCATATTTCACTAGCAGTTGCGACACTAGAACAATACTGAATGTACGGATTGGTGGTCTCTTGCCAGATTTCACAAGATATGTGTTGAAACAGTTCAGCTACATATTCAGAGATAGCTACAGGGAGTCACCATAGAACCAAGCCAGAAATCGACCATTGATTGTAATGAAAATTCTTCATTCTGGTGGCCCCTCGGTGGCTTCCTTATTCCTGCCCTTTCCTTTACAGGGGCTTCAGTTATTGTCAGTTTAGGCACCATCAGGAAGTGAGGAGTTGTAACTAGTGGTACTAGCTAGTTTACGAACATTTCCTTGCTTTTTCCGTGTACTGTACCTCTTTTTGGTGACATTTCATCCTGGCTTTGATTTTTACTACAGTGTCTCTGCACATGTGTTGAGTGGATCAAATTTTATTTCTTGTCTCTGGTACTCTGAAATAACATGGCAAGGCCTGGTGGTGGTGCATGATAGGTTTGGACACTATCCATTCCATTCAACAGCTAATTTTTTCCCTGTTCAGATGATACTTCCCATGTTGTCGAAGTGATGTAGTTTTGCTGGTGTTAAGTGGAAGGACATGACCATTTCTGAGCAGTACTTCTCCCCTGTTTGCTTATGGGGGCTGGGCCTTGAAGCGCGGATGGCCACCTTCCTCGATCCAGTTGTACTAGCTAGTATTCACCTAGTTGTGCTTGCAGGGGTTGAGCTCTGCTCTTTCGGCTCACCTCTCAACTATTACTAACTACCTTTTTTTTTTCCTCACACACACACACACACACACATACTTTCCCCAGAAAGCAGCCAGTAACAGCTGACTAACTCCAATGTACAGTACCTATTTTCTGCTAGGAAACAGAGTCATCAGGGTGAAAGAAACTCTGCCCATCTGTTTATGCCAGCACCGGGAATCGAACCCAGGACCACAGGACTAAGTATCCAGTGTGCTGTCCACTCAGCCACCAGCACCCCCTAGTGCTGTCACTTGGTTGTTAATGTAGACGTTACCCAGTGTGCACCATTGGTTGAAAACAACTGATGTTGCACACTGGGTAGTATGTCACTTTAGTTATTTTCAACCAATGGTGCCTGCTAGGTAGTTTCTAATTAGGTACTGTACTTCAGAACTATCATTGGCTTTCTTAGAGGTCCTAAGAAATTTTTTGGAAAGGTGTTTGAGTGGTGCGATGTGTTCTTTTGGTGTTAGCAAGCCGCTTTTCAACTGTGGTGGACTGAGGTACGTTCTCCACTGCCTCTCACCCCTGGACAATGTAACATGACCATTTGACAAGTTATTTATCTGGGTGGGGCACAAAGTCATGAAGAGCCTAGCATATTAGTAACTGTATAGTGGGCTATGGCTGTGTGTGCAGACGATGAGTCACATTAACGTGGCTGAAGATGTGATGACCAAACTACACACCAGAAGATGAAGAGACGACGATGTTTTGGTCCGTCCCTGGACCATTAGCAAGTCGATTGTTGCTCTGAATGTCAGTTGTGACTATGGCTCTGAATAGCAATCAGTGGCGACAAAGAAAAGTGCATTTCATTCTGCTTTACATACATTTTTTAGTATACAAGAGATAAATTAAGCATTTTCTTATCACAAATCACATCCTTAATAAAATTAAATATTCCTCATCAGTCATAAAGATACACATCCTGGTAGTACAGTCAGGTTCGTTCTTGACACACACAATCGAGAATTCCAGGTTCAAATCCCTGGTGGGACAGAAATGGTTGGGCACATTTCCTTTCACCTAATGCCTCTGTTCACCTAGCAGTGAGTAGGTACCCAGGAGTTAGTCAGCTTGTTGTGGGGCTGCATCCTGGGCTGGTTCAGTAATTTGGCCTTGGAGGAGGGGGGGAAAATCTCGATAAAAGTAACATGTGTGAATACACTCTGGCTTCATGTCCCCAACACAATGAATTTTTATTAATTATAAATCTTCACAGCAATTCCCCACTCTTCTCACGAGCTCTGTGAGAGCAATTCAACTTAAAATATCTAGTGAAGAATTCATAAGTTTTGCAGAATTCTCTCTTATGCCTGCTTATGAGAGTTTTATCCAATTTAATTCCTTAGAGGGCAATTTTATATTAGTCTATTTTAAGTGTATGAAGTAGTGAAAAATATTTGTTTTCTGAAATTTTACAGGAAGAAGTAAATAATTTTCAAGTACCTCCTTGTGAGCAATGTGGAGGAATCATGAAGCCTGATATAGTATTCTTTGGTGATAATGTTCCAAGAAGTCGTGTGAACAAAATTCAGCAAGAATTGGCCACCTGTGATGGTCTGTTAGTACTTGGATCATCATTGTTTGTTTATTCAGGTTACAGGTATGTTTCTGTTTTTGAGTAAAGTAGTAAAGTAAATTTTTGAGTGTGACACTGTATACTTTTAAGTGCTAATGTAAAGTTTGCATGTTAGCCAGTAGATGGGGTACTCTGCTGTGCTCAGGTTTCTCCCTTTACTTCCATTCCCCTCCTCTCCCCAAAGATTTCCCCTCTCCTCCCCCCAACATTCCTTCTTTCCTCCCTTCTCCATACAGCATTCCCCCCCCCACCTCTCTCCTCCAACATTCCCTGTCTCCTCCCCTCTCCACAACATCTCCCTCTCTTCTCTTATCCTTCTTCCCTATCCTTTCCTCTCCCTGTTTCTTTCAAAAACTAATTTTACAAAACATTGAAAAACTGCTATAAACTCTACAGAAAATACATCCCCAATTTCAGACTTCATGATAATTACAAAAGTTACTTGTAATTAAATTTCCAAAAATCTGGAATTCTTTACAAAACATTCAGGTGCGATTATCACTAGGCAAGAGGCACTGGTAAACTGAGGTGCGATCGCCATGCCACAGGTTGGCCATACGCGTATCAACAAATGATACCCGAGGCAAAGTTCGTAACCCAATTCAGATTTTACAAAGAAATTGGGCTCGTAACCCGAAAAGTTCATAAAGAGGGGCATTAGTAAGCCGAGGTGTCACTGTACATACAATCCACCATTCTATCTGCCTCTGAGAGGGCCCAGTTCTGGCTTTGGTCTCCAGTAGGCCTTTGAATTCTTTGACCAATGGGACGTAGTAGTATAATTCAACAGTATGGCACACTATCAGAATTAGTAGCTTCAGGGCACCACTGGTGCTCACCCAGTTATTAGTATTTCATTTCATTCAATAATTAGTACAGTATATATGTATCATTACCAACAGGTTTATTCTACAAGCAGCAGAATCGGGAATTCGTATTGGTGCAGTCAACATTGGGGCAACACGTGGTGACAAACATATCTCACTCCATGTCAATGCTCGCTGTGGGGAAGTGTTACCTCAGCTTATTGTATGATACAGCTTATTATAAATATAAAGCAGAATTGCAACTCTTGTAATCTTTTAAATTTGGGAAAATTTTTAAATTAAAATGTGTACAATATATAATTTGAGTCATTTCTGTCCCAAGTACATATGGTGTCACTTTTCTTGGGGGAGCCCCTTGTGGCTATCTCACCAAGATTGCTCCATTACTAGATCTCATCAGCTGTGGAGGTCAGTTCGACTTACCGGGTACAACAGACAGAACCTGGTCCCCCTCATTAGAAATGTAGGGAGCAGGCAACACTCCACCTCACCAGGGAAGGCACCTAGAAAGCTAACTAACCAATACAAATCACTGCTGGGTTTAAAAGAGATCAAGGCCTCAACCCATTGAATGAACTCCAACAATGTGTATAAAAAAGTCCCATCGCCTTGAACATAAGTCTTTTTGCTCAAATTTGAACAATAATTGTAATTTTCCAGGTTTGGTGCCTTATTGATATTTACTTGTAATTTTCCATTCCCATATCTAGTGTACTCACCTAGTTGTGTTTATGGTGGGTTGAGCTTTGACTCCTTGGTCCCACTATTATTTATAGTTACAAGCATTTTTACATTTTATAGCCACTAGCATGCATGGCATTACGGGCAAGTCCTTAATCCAGATATTCCCCGGAATACAACCCTCACCAAGTCTTGCCCAATAGTAAAATGGGGTACCTGGTTAAACAGAGGCTACAGTAAAGTATTTGCACCCAGTAAATCCTCCCTGGCCAGAATACAAACCCAGGCCAAAGTGCTCAAGAAATGCCAGGCGAGCATCTTACCACTACACCATGGGGACAAAATTGGACTACCAACTGGTGTACAGATTCCCGAGTTTCATCTACATTTTAAACTGTATGGAGTCTGCCTCCACATTGCTGCCTAATGCATTCCATCTGTTAACTATTCTGTCACTGAAAAATGTTCTAACATTCCTGTGGCTCATTTGGGTACTAGTTTTTCCACCCATGTCCCCTTGTTTGTGTCCCACCCGTGCTAAATGTATGGGTGGGATTATTTTTATCTACCCTGTCAATTCATCTGAATTTTATAGATAGTGATCGTGTCTCCCCTAACTGTCTTCCATTATGGAGGTTTGGTTCCATCAATCTTTCCTCATAGCTTATACCTGTCAGCTCATGGACTAGCCTGGTGGCATACCTCAGCCTTTTCTGACTTCGGTTTGTGTTTGACTAGATGTTCACTAGACTGCAGCTGCATATTCCAGTATTGCTCCAATATTAGGTATACAAGGTTCTGAATGATTCTTTACAAGTTTCTGAAGGGGAAATTTATGTATTATTTAACATCTTATTCTAACATTGATCAGTTACATTCTATTGAAGGCTAGAAGTTTAGTTTTGAGAAACAGATCCTTAGTGGCAATTTGTGTAGACAAAGCATTAACAGACCTCCAGGCTAAGGTATTCAAGAAGAGCGAGTTAGTTTCAATTTTAATATTTTACAACTTTAACATTCATTAAACAGTCATTTTCTGGAAAAAAAATATCAAAGGCTGGCGTCACAATACTGTATATGAAGTGGTGACAGGCAGTGTGTCACTATGCAGTCGATATAGATGTTCTTCAGTATAGAGTCCTCGTTGCCTTCCATGTTGCCTGGATGTGGTCGCCCGAGCCTGGGAATGAGGGAAGAGTTAATTATATTCCTTAATAAATTTTAAGAAATCTTGTTAAGCCAAGACTGACTTGAGACCTTTACAGCCGTTTAAGCCCTTACGAGTAACCTGCACTTAAACCTACAAAACACCCTGCATGTCTTTACAATTTGAAATTTATGACAGTCAAACAAGCCCTACAGCCCCTTCAGTGAGAGATCTGCTTGATAAGTACCCAGATGACCACTGTCAGGTCGTCATACCTCTTTGCCGCTTGTCCACATGAACTGGATCCCACCTGACAAAAATGATTTTATAAAAAAAATCTTGGCCCTTTAGTAAAATTTAGTCTAGCATTATGACTTAACCTTTAGTCATGGATTTAAATAATTTAAGTATTAAACACTAATACTTACACTCTTGGCAATAACGCTCTTTATGAAGTAAAGGGCTCCAAGCTATTGTTTTAGATAACCTGTAGAACACTCAAAAACAGAAGCCGAAACTAACAGTTTTGCACGCTCACGAGCATTAATGATACACCTTTGTAATAAGAGTGACTGCCAAGAACTGTTTACTTTTTGCACTAAAGTAAAAGCTTAACCATGTACATTTAACAGATTGTTAACATTGTCCTCCCAAGTAACTTTAAACAGTCAACGTGCGTGGCCATACTGTACATTTCCAAACTTCAACTTAGAGAGCCCCTAGAGCAATCCACTGTGGTTAAGTGTCCGGAGACTAGCATTGGAATTCTAGTTAAAAGGCATTTGTCAAGCTTCTGATTGCCTTGTGTAGATCCCCGGGCCTCAATTACACCTCTACGAAGCGGTAGTTATCTTTTAGGTACAACGGTCAGGACATTCCGTTAACTTGTTACATCATAACTATTTACGTTAAGGGCTAGCCAGTCGCGATGCAAGTAGGACAAGCGTCACTGGCCAGTTTGGGGTCTTTTAGTGCCAGACGCAGTATTATGCGCACTTAATCCAGTCTTGGAGTCTTGGCAAATCTGAAATAATGGTACTCCCCCCCCCCCATAAAAAAAGGGAGACTGAAGAAGGGGCAGGGGAGGGAGAGAGGGGGGCGGCGCAACAAAGGGGGAGGGAGGGGAGCGGCACAACAAAGGGGCAGGGGAGGGGAGGGGGGATCCGCCACATGGGGCAGGGAGAGAAGGGGGGGGGAGATCCGCCACATGGGGGAGGGGGGGGGGAGATCCGCCACATGGGGCAGGGGGAGGGGGGGGGAGATCCGCCACATGGGGGAGGGGGGGGGAGATCCGCCACATGGGGCAGGGGGGGGGGGGGGGAGATCCGCCACATGGGGCAGGGGAGGGGGGGGGAGATCCGCCACATGGGGCAGGGGGAGGGGGGGGAGATCCGCCACATGGAGCAGGGGGAGGGGGGGGAGATCCGCCACATGGGGCAGGGGGAGGGGGGGGAGATCCGCCACATGGGGCAGGGGGAGGGGGGGGGGGGATCCTCACCATACAGCTCAACCTCAAGATCCGCCACATGGGGCAGGGGGAGGGGAGGGGGGTGGGGGGGATCCTCACCATACAACTCAACCTCAAGAGACGAGGCTGAACTGTATACCAAAAGTGAGGTAAAACAACACTGAAGTGCTTTTTGTCACATCGTCACTTTTATACCCGGCAGCCAACCAAACCCGGCCGCTGATTGGTTGACATTCACCCTCAAACTCGCCCCCATTGGTTAACATTCTGCGAGTCTGAAGTGTCAATTAACAATGGCCAACAACCACTCCTTCACTTCCACAAATACGAACAAGTCTCTAATGAACCAATAATGATCCCCAACTTGAATGTTTGAAGTTGTTCATTTACAAATATAATTCACAAATCAAATACAACATTCTACTGCAAATGTTGCAACAGAACAACAGGTACAACAGAGCAACATTTGCAATAGAATCGGCAGTTAATAAGTATTCGTCTGTCAGTCAAGAACAGTTAATGGCCGCTCCACAACTACAATATACAATATATACAATAACACACTAACAAACACAACAACCCAAAGTTCCTGACACAACACTGAATGATGTTAAATATTTGCTTTCAACTGACTTAAGATATTGATCGTTAATGACAAATTAAGTGATTTTAACTTATTGAAGAGTGAAAATTTATGCTTCATAATAACTATTAACGTCCAGGTGTCTCTGTGCTAAGTCCCACAAGGTCTCTGTGCTAAGTCTGCTCAGTCCCACAAGGTCTCCGTCCTGTCCTCTGTGCTCAGTCCCACAAGGTCTCCGTCCTGTCCTCTGTGCTCAGTCCCACAAGGTCTCCGTCCTGTCCTCTGTGCTCAGTCCCACAAGGTCTCCGTCCTGTCCTCTGTGCTCAGTCCCACAAGGTCTCCGTCCTGTCCTCTGTGCTCAGTCCCACAAGGTCTCCGTCCTGTCCTCTGTGCTCAGTCCCACAAGGTCTCCGTCCTGTCCTCTGTGCTCAGTCCCACAAGGTCTCCGTCCTGTCCTCTGTGCTCAGTCCCACAAGGTCTCCGTCCTGTCCTCTGTGCTCAGTCCCACAAGGTCTCCGTCCTGTCCTCTGTGCTCAGTCCCACAAGGTCTCCGTCCTGTCCTCTGTGCTCAGTCCCACAAGGTCTCCGTCCTGTCCTCTGTGCTCAGTCCCACAAGGTCTCCGTCCTGTCCTCTGTGCTCAGTCCCACAAGGTCTCCGTCCTGTCCTCTGTGCTCAGTCCCACAAGGTCTCCGTCCTGTCCTCTGTGCTCAGTCCCACAAGGTCTCCGTCCTGTCCTCTGTGCTCAGTCCCACAAGGTCTCCGTCCTGTCCTCTGTGCTCAGTCCCACAAGGTCTCCGTCCTGTCCTCTGTGCTCAGTCCCACAAGGTCGAATTACTGACCATTGCCAGAAATGCACGAACTGTATAATAAATAAATTGCTTTGGTAATTATCAATAATTTTCCACATATTACCCAATACCCATCGACTGTTTGAGGTGCAGAGTACATGTAGGGTACATGTGCTGGTAGTATTGAACCCAATACCCATTCTGTGGATGTAAGGGCGCTCTGGGCTGGGTGTCCCAGGTAGGTAGAGAAATAAAAGACACACTATTGTAGACTTTTATATTACAAATATATATGTATATAGGATAACATGTGCGACACACTCCCAGGCACCTGTACCATTGTTGATGTTTAGCCGCTGCATCATATCACTCATTGTTTAGTCACAGCAGTGTTGTCATTGTATTGTGTAGTTGTCACAGTAGCGTCGTCATTGTACTGTACAGTTGTCAGAGCAGTGTTGTCATTGTACTGTTCAGCTGTCAGTGTACTGTTCAACTGTCATTGTACTGTTCAGCTGTCATTGTACTGTTCAACTGTCATTGTACTGTTCAGCTGTCATTGTAATGTTCAGCTGTCATTGTACTGTATAGCTGTCATAATAGCGCTGTCATTGTCTCCACAACACTGTCACTGAACATTTGTCTCCATAGTGCTATCATTGCACAGTTGTCAGAGTAGTACTGTCATTATATCACAGGAGGCCTGGTCGAGGACCGGGCCGCGGGGACGCTAAGCCCCGAAATCGTCGCAAGGTAACCGCAAGGTAGGGCTATCATTGTACAGTGATCACAGCAACACTGTCATTGTACAGTTGACATTGTAGTTTGATCAGCTGATGGGTGTTATGTTGAAGTCGTTCCTGTACAGCTGATGCGAGTGTCAGCTGTAGGCATCACAGTGTAGTACAGTCACTGATGATGCCACTGCCACACCTGCTCCCACACCTGCTTCCACACCTGCTGCTACTCATAGCCATTGGGGTTCTGACTCTGCCACCTCCAAGCATCCACACCTGGTGGAAGAAAAATAACATGATTTTTTATTATTTTTGTAAACAATGCCAGGAATAACTGCGCATTTTAAGGGTTAAGGCTTACCTATGCTTTCCCTCTAATGTCTAAATTATTTTTATATTTTTTGGTTTATTTATATATATACAAGAGTTCTTACATTCTTTTAAAGCCACTAACACACATAGCGTTTCGGGCAGGTCCTTAATCTTAATTTTTTTCCCCGGAATACGACCCGCCAAATCGTTTAACAACCAGGTACCCATTCACTGCTGGGTGAACAGAGGCTACAGTTAAGGACTGGCACCTATTCCATCCTCCCCGGCCAGGATGTAAACCCAGGCCAAATCGCTTGCGAAGTGCGGGGCGAGGGTGTTAAAGTTTACTTTACACTTACGGTAGGACTGAGGTGTCTCACTAAGATGAACTTAAGATCCTATGAGACGGGGAAAGTAAATACAACCCACCAACATAACGGGTGACAAAGAAGTTTACATCGGAGAGAGTTGGAGAGTTGCTCAAGTATTTTCAAAGTCTTAACTTAAGTTGGGGTCTTGAGAGTAGTTTGGAGAGTGCTGAGGAGGTGGGGGGGGGGACGGGGTGTTGGAGAGGGAGGTGTGGAGGGAAGTAATTTGAACCAGGTGTGGAGGGAGGCATATGTGCAGGACCATGAGGTAAGGAAAACATACAGTGGAACAGGTGTGGAAGAACACATTGATGAGCACATGTGGAAGGAGCAAGTATAAAGTAGGAAGTTGAGTAGAAGCAGGTATGGACGTACACATCTGGTGCAGGTCACGGGTGGCCGTCCATCCCAGCTGGTCTTGGGCCAAAGTGCAGCTGGCCACCATGGTGGCTACATCGCCCTCACGTCGACCCACAACCTTGTATGGCACCTTTCTCTGGCTGGCCCTGTAGGGAGGAGGGGGAGGAAGGTACATGTCACTCTCTCAGCTCACACGTGTTACTCTCCCAGCTCACAATGTCCCAGCTCACATATGTTGCTCTCTTGGCTCACGTCTGAATCATTGTTTACATTTATCACGGTGCAGTTCAGTCTTTAATATCTGGTATACCAGTGTCTGGGACTAGAGTCGTGTTTGGCTCATCAAGCTCTTCCCTTGCACAACTACCTACCTGTTGATGATTTCGAGGATCAATGTCCCTACGGCCCAGTCTGACCAGGCCGCTCGCAGCCTGACATACGAGTCACAGCCTGGTTCATCAAGTATCCTTTAAAGGTGCTTGTCAAGTTCTATTTTGAAGTCTGCAAGAGGTTGGCCGATTATGTATCTTTAAAGTAGGGGGAAAGTGTTGAAAAGTCTTGGGCCTTTGACATTCCCTCCATCATTGCAAACCACCAGAAGATTTGGAGAGGAGAGGAAGACATTGCAGTCTACCCTCCTCACCTGCATCCCTCCCTTCCTCCCTCTCACACCTGCATTCCTCCATATCCCTCATATCTGCCTCATTTCTCATTTCATATCTCTTGTACAGCTCACTTTTCTCACCTGCTTCAAATATACAGCGTCAAGTCCTTCTCACATATTTCCCTTTCACTTAACAAGATGACAAGAGAGTGTTTACCTGGCGAAGGCTTCGACCATCTGGAGAACTGAGACGCCAGTGCCAGTGCCCAGGTTATAGGCAGCTGCTCCATGGAACTCCTGGCTGCAGAGTTTCTCCAGCGCTGCCACGTGGCCCCGTGCCAGATCCATCACGTGGATGTAATCCCGCACACCTGGTCGACACACCTACATTAGTCATCCACACACCTGATCACCACTCTGGCTTAATCTAATATACCTGTTTATCATAACATTTTTAGTATCAATTGTTCTAGCCATACCATAATGACATAATGTAGAGGGTTACCTACACACGATGACATGTGTTCTCAGGAGTCATATATCGGAAAGTTGACTTAAACGAGCAGGATTCAAAACCTAGTGATGATCTAGCAAACCTGCTAGGCGATGGTTAGAAGAGATGTGGACTGGTTATATAAGCAGTCCATAGCGAATACAGTCGATATTACGGGCTATTCATGCCTGTGCCACCTCTTAAGTGGCTTAATCGTCATCAATCAATCAATACATGGAAGCTGGATATAACTAGATAGCATTACAGCCCCGCTCCTGTGCCAGGTAAGTCCATTAGGGGCTCACCATCATCCTGCTACTTGGAACTTTTTGTTCCCAGTAGCTGCATCTAAAACGACAACAACTAATCGTCATTTTATGGGCTATTCATGCCCGTGCAACCATTTGGGTTGCTTAATCTTTGACTGATTGATTGATCGATTGGTAATCATCAGTCTAACTCCAAGAGTGATTCAGTACAGATGGTCGAGAGATACTACACATCTTCAACATCCACCTACAACACTGTAACACTCGATGTGTCCAGTTCCTACCCCCTCACAGGACGCTTCAGCTGGTATAGACACGGTACAGGTGTGCTGGTGTAGACACGGTGCAGGTGTACTGGTGTAGACACGGTACAGGTGTACTGGTGTAGACACGGTACAGGTGTACTGGTGTAGACACGGTACAGGTGTACTGGTGTAGACACGGTACAGGTGTACTGGTGTAGACACGGTACAGGTGTGTGTACAGTACCTGTACCGTCGGGAGTGTCGTAGTCGTCACCGTAGACATAAAGGTGTTCCCTCTTCCCGACGGCGACCTGGGCGATGTAAGGGAGGAGGTTGTTGGGCGTCCCTCTAGGGTCCTCCCCGATCCTTCCCGACTCGTGGGCCCCTACCGGGTTGAAGTACCGCAGGACCACCACCCGCCACTCCTGCAATGTTGCAGGATAGTAACACTCGGGAGCGCTGCCAGACACTCCTGCAATATCGCAGGAGAGTCAGTAATGACGTCTGGGTACACGGCACTTTGTTAGTCATAAACCCACAACACTTCCTCGTCAGCAGTTACCTTGTCCGCGGCTGCTAGATCCTTCATAATGTGCTCACACATGTGCTTGGTGCGTCCGTAGGTGTTTGTGAGCCCGACGCCGGTGGGGTGACGCTCGTCCGTGGGCAGGTACTGCGGCGTCCCGTACACTGTGGCTGACGACGAGTACACCACCTTTTTCACTCCCGCCTCACGCATCACCTGCAGGCATCATGGACGGCTCCAGCCTTGTATACACACACACAAACTCCTAGATCAATGGTAAGGCTCCTAGTAAATTGTGGAGCTCAGTAGCTCAGTAGATTAAGGCAGGTAAGGTAAGGTAATTATCAAAAGAAGGCACCAAACCGGGAAGGCTATGTAGCACCATCAAAGTGCGAAATAATCAGAGGGCGCTAAATATCACCAAGAATGCCGTAGATTAAGGCAGTGTCTGGGATACTCCCGGACGCAGGTTCGAATCCTCGTCACGGCCCTTGTGGATTTGTTCATTTAAATTGTGGAGGCTCCTTCAACCACTCACCCTCTCTCCCCCCACAACCCGTGACTCACCTCCAGGAGGGTGATGGTGCCAGCGACGTTGTTGGTGTAGTACTCCAGCGGCTTCTTCACGGACTCACCAACAGCCTTCAGGGCTGCGAAGTGAATCACCACGTCCACCTGGTGCTGAAGGTGAACAGTGAGGTTATGAACTAGGTGTTAGGCTTGAGGGGGGGGGGGGATGAATTGTCATTGTTTTGAAAACAGTGTGACAGCAGGCGTGTCACAGCCTCCTGGCCGACTTACCTGCGCGAAGACTCTGCCGAGCGCGGCGCGGTCCAGGAGGGAAACCATGTAGAAGGCAGCGATGGTCTTGCCGGTTATGGCTGAGACTCGAGCAAGAGCGGGCGGCAGCTTCCCTGGATGGTCGGCTCCGGCACTATTGCAGCAGTTGTCCACCACCACCACCTGGTGGCCAGCCTCCAGCAGCTCCACCAGCGTGTGCGACCCTACGAAGCCGGCCCCGCCCGTCACCAGCACCGTCAACCCCATCCTGCCGCTGCCGCAGGAAGACAACATAATTAGTAGGTCTTGGTGACTCCCCGTGTGGCTCTGTGGGTTATTTCCATCTTGTAAATTGTTCAGTAACATGTGATGCGAAGCTGGTAGAAATGCTATGAGGTCTTTTCTCATTTTAATGACACACACACACCAGAAGGCAGGACATTAACTGCAACAGCTTCCAGGAAAATTCAATTGCCTAAGTATTGTAGAACAGGTTGAGAACCGTGACTGGTGCCCCATGACATATGAAGATATTGGGACTTTGAAAAGTAACTATGATATAAGAAATAAGCAAAAGTGAGTGAGAAATCAGGATAGGTAAACTTAATATTTCAAAACAGAAGCACGTCAACAACAAAGATGGCCGCCATCACGCCAACAAATGAATATTTCAAAGTATTCTCAGCACAAAATACAATGAAAAGTGGTTTTCTTGGTAGGTTAGTGATTATTTACGACTTGCTAAAGAATTATGACGAAAAAATAATTAAATTAGAATAAGAAAATAAATGTCTCAAGATTGAGTTCCATACTTTAAAAAGAAAGTATTTCCCAGCAAGATAAGGAAATTACCAGCTTGAATGATAAGGTAAGGTTTTGTATTTATGTTGCAAAGACAACCTAACCAGAACCAAGTCAATTCGTATACCAGGAAAGACGACGGTGGGGAACCAACGTAACCATGCATCAGGCATGACAAGGCTCGTATTAAAGACCATTAAAATCCTAAAAAATATTGAAAGTCATTTACCTAAGGGGCCGCACACTCTATAGTGGCTTTGACGAGGACAGAAAGCCGGTGGCTTGACAACGGAACCCTTCATTGTTCCGGAGAATTTTATTTTTCTTCTACGTCGCTTCATTGAAAAAGTTTCAATAGAACACAAACACGGAGGCAACAGCTTCAAGCTCAACAAGCCAGAATTTCAGGCACAAAACAGACTATTTTCATCCCAGAAGATAAACAAAATAATTGAATTCAAAGTTCAGCTGGAACGAATCTTCAGTGGTAACGGGGGGCCACAATCAAGGCGCCAGGTTCGTGTCCCTATCGAGGCTGGGAGCCCCTCAGATAAATATTCAAGCAAAGCTAATTCACTCCTCTGAACCCCTATACCCATCCTGTGGGGGGTAGTGGACCCCATACCCATCCAGTAAGCTGTAGTGAACCCCATACCCATCCTGTGGGCGGTAGTGAACCCCATACCCATCCTGTGGGCGGTAGTGACAAAAACTACAGAGGCACATAATTGGTTCAGGAACGGTACCCCATAATACATTTAGCTATGCAAGACCTGACGAACTAGTTACATCATTTTTTATAAATACACCAGGAAGATCACAGCTCATCAAACTAACATTACAGATATAAATAAATTTCACACATTATATAATCAGCCGAATTATCACAAAAAGGGCACGGTGCTCCAAGGCCCAGAATAGCATTGCACGCGGATTATAATAAATAAATAAATAAATAAATAAAAGTTTATTCAGGTAAAGTACATACATACAAGAGGTTATACAAAATTGATAGATTCATAGATAGAGCTAGTACATACAATGCCTAAAGCCACTATTACGCAAAGCGTTTCGGGCAGAATTATCGTACTAATGATGAATTCATTGTATTACAGTATCGTTGTATTTGTTCAACAAATACAGTACCTACTGTATAATCACTGTAGTTTTATAATATATTTATTATTATTGTTGTTATTACTGAACGCGATCAGTGGATTAAATCACTGATCGTGGTATGTACGTGCCGCGTACGGTACGTGCCTTGCACGTGCTATGAAGAACAGGTGTACACTGGACCTACCTGATGGGGCAGGATCTGTCACACGGGCCTACGTCGCCAGCGTCAGTATGTGGCACCCCCTTGGCACCGCCATCGCTACCTCATCCTCCCTTTAGAATGCCCGTGTTCTACAAGAGATCATCGCTGTATTCGTCTCCTTTTCATAGCCCACCCATAAACTGTGCATTTCTGGCTGGTGTGAATTTCGAATTGAGATTTCGTGAGCAACGGTGACGCGAGTGGAGGAGCAGTTACGTCAAGCAGCGTCCGCGTGTTTACGTGTGTGTGTGTGAGGGCCAAGGAGGCCTCGTGGTTACTGAGAAGACAATCAATACAGGCGAGTCTCCCTCTCAGGAATCGTGCCAAGTTTCTCATTGAAAACGGGTAACATACGAGTGTTACAGAAAATGATCTGTCACTGTGTTGTTAGTGGGTAGCTTTAGTAAATTAATCTAAACCTTTTCCCCGCAATGTGTGTTGCTAATAACACTGATTATCGAGGATCTCGCTGTTCACTAGACACAAATTAATTAACTAAACTTCACCTAACCTAATTGTATGCAGCATCTTACATGTTGGCTCCCGCTTATATACCTCACTATAAACGCTCTAGTGATCCGTTAGAATATGAACAGGCGAGATATTTACACAAGATTGACAACTGCAGCAGACTGGCCAATGTTGTTGATAGGAGACCCATTAGGAAGGGAGTGACGTCAACACGTGCCGCCAGCACTCGTGTATTCACAAGAGCAACTGTCATTGGCTTGCATAAAAAAAAATAAACAAAAAAAAAATCCAACAAGAAATCCAACATTCTGGAGAATCCATTCATTCTCCAGGTGTCTCCAGGTGTGTTTGTGGGGAAGAGGGGAGACTGATACAGACACCGAGGGGAGACGAACCTCTCGGTGTGGCGAACGTGGTGAAAATTAGCAAATAATCTAGGAGGGTGTCGTGTGGAGGGGGAGGGGGGGGGGTATAGAGAGTGTAAGGACACCAGCTGGTACAGCCACAGATATTGACACAGATGTCCCATCCCCAACACACACACACACACACACACACACACACACACACACACACACACACACACCTCTACCTTTCCGTGCTTGATGGGTGCTCGTTAACACATACACCGAGTAGTTCATTGTGCGTCCATACTCCGTGAGCTCTAGTACAATGTACACCGCACACTCATCCTGTGAACATGGGGGGAGCAGCCCCCAGGGGAAGCTCCCCGCGTCCACCAGGGAGTAATAAAGTGTGAGGAAGGTTACACACAAATCTCTCATTAGGAACACTTGTTTTCAAAATCTAGACACAAACACAGCTGTTAAAATACCTGTATTACCTCACGTCCACATTCCACACCACCTGCGACGCGCAAATATATGACTAAAAAGAAAATCAGTGTTTTATTTTCAGAAAACGCTGGTACAGTTCCACCTGTACCCGGCGTTGCTCGGGTGCCGGAGGCTACATCTTCACAAGACCCTATCTTCTTCACTGTAACCATCTTAACTACCCGGACACATCATCAGATGCCTCATCTACACCCATCATCATCATTACCTTCCCATCTTCTCTCTTGTTTTTTATTATTATTATATTATTATTATTTATATATACAAGAGTTCTTACATTATTGTACACACATAGCGTTTCGGGCAGGTCTTTAATCCTAATTTTCCCCGGAATACGACCGGCCAAATCGTTTAACAACCAGGTACCCATTTACTGTTGGGTGAACGAGGCTACAGATTGGTGCCTAGTCAATTGGCTCCAGGAGGGCTGGTCGACGACCGGGCCGCGGGGACCCTAAGCCAAGAAATCATCTCAAGGTAACTTCAAGGTGGTCAATCATTGCCGGCCAGGATACGAACCCAGGTCAAAGCGCCGGGCGCGTGCTTTACCACTGCGCTACGGACATGCTCATTCATTTCCTTACCTACCCTTCATTATCTTCTTTACCCTTACTCCTTACACTCGTCCAGCCCACTTGGGCTGGACGGTTGAGCGACCGTCTCGTCGCAGGTCGGCGTTCAATCCCCGACCATCCACCAAGTGGTTGGGCACCATTCCTTTCCCCCGTCCTATCCCAAATCCTGACCCCTTCCCAGTGCTATATAGTCGTAATGGCTTGGTGCTTTCTCCTGATAGTTCCCTTCCTCGAGCTTCCCTACCACTTCACTATTTGATGCAAAGGGGGAAAAGGGGGGAATGGGGAGTCAACCCCGACCCGCCTATGACCATTCCCAACCATAGAGCCATCACTCTGCAAAGTTTAGTGAGACTAGCCCCAAGCGCCTGGCTTCCAACCTCGAATACACACAACTGCTACAGAGACAAAAGAGGAATCCAAGATTTACAACATAATTAATAACTAAGTATTCACATTCCATGTTTAACGTAACCCTTAGTAACTAGGTTAAGTTTAGCTTACTAGTTTCAGGAAGTAAGAGTCAGAGAGAGAGAGAGAGAGAGAGAGAGAGGGTGGGGGGGGGGCCGGCAGAGAGGGAGAAACATACCTTCAGATGGGCGGAGTGTAACTAGACTGTGTAAATGACCAAGCAAGAGGGTATATGAAGTGTAAGGAGTAACAGGTGTTCACATTCACAGGTGTGATACCAGATACAACTCCTTACACACAGCTACACTTGTAACTGCACTTAGGTAATCACAGCTGTCAGGGGCCTGACAGTCTGAGTGGACAGCGCTCGGGATTCATAGTCCTGTGGTCCGGGATCGATCCCCGGAGATGGCGGAAACAAACGGGCGGAGTTTCTTTCACCCTGGTGCTCTGTTCACTTAGCAGTAAATAGGTACCTGAGAGCTAGACAGCTGTTACGGGCTGCTTCCTGGGGGGGGGTGTATGTGAGGGGGGGGGGTGGAAATAAGTTGAATGATTGACAGTTGAGAGGCGGGACGAAAGAACCAAAGCTCAACCCCCGCAAGCACAATTAGGCGAACACACACACACACAATTTAGGTTATTTCCCATTTAATGCAATAACTACTCCACAGATCACTGGACGACTCATCATTGCACAATAAACATTGATGAGAAATTCACTCTTGCACAGTAAATGCTCACTAGGACACGTACTTAACACTGTGGTAGTCGAAGTGGGCCACAACACAGGACACACACCCGTCTGCCACACAATCTGGGACGTTTCTTCTTAATGCTCGGAGCTTGTCGATAGTAACTCTGGATAGTTAAGACGCTGATGGAGAGGTCACGCTGAGTAGTCCAGGGCGCAGGTGACGAGGGAGGAGGAGGAGGAGGTGGACAGGTGATGATTAAGGAGCGTTGGCGACCGCTGGCTGCCTGCTCATCAGATATGACTGACAAGAGATATAACAAACATTACGTGTCACTTCATTATCTCTTAACTGGTGGTCACTCTCACAGGGGCTCGAGGGGACACTATCGCACTCCACTCTAAAAATACAACAGTGGAGATATGGTTGCCCTGTTCACATTAGTTCACACAACAATATGTTTATCCTCACGCTTGTGCTGTGTTCGTGCGCGCGCATCGCAAAGTGCGCATCGTTACTTGAGATTTGTTTGACCAAGTTTGTCTCGTAACTGGCAGAGTTCTCAGGTCTTGATGACACGACGTCCATAGATTACGACGCCGGTGAATCACGACGTCTGTGGGATAACGACGCCTGTGGATGACGGCGTCTGTGGATCACGACGTCGGTGAATCACGACGTCTGTGGCTCACGACGCCGGTGAATCACGACGTCTGTGGATCACGACGCCGGTGGATGACGACGTCGTGTTTACTGTGATCGAGTCACTGAATTTGTGCGATAAGACATTCTACCAGCCTCCCCAGGCACGTGACCTGGCATTAACACAGCGGTACACCATGCGACCTCCGGCCCGCTCTCCACTCTCATCCTCGCACGCCAAAATGTTTACTATTAACACTAAGATAATATATTACGATACTCTAACACAAGAGTGCATGATGGAGTCCCTGGCAATTGACAGAATGAAATTCCAAAACTGTGTTGAGACAAATCACAGAATTGAATACCTTATTGAATACTTATGAGTTATCTTATCCTTAAGACATACACTACAGTGGATCAGATTACAGCGGTTATCTTGGTAGATACTGTATTTGAACGTTTCATAAAGCCACTAATTGCGTGTAGCGTTTCAGGCATAAACTTAATGTTAATTGAATATACATTTTTAGGATAAATTATTTATGTGAATGACTCAATGATTGATGTCGAAAAAGTTTATTTATTTATTTATTTATTTATATACAAGAAGGTACATTGGGTTTGTGAGAATACATAGCATAGTATTTACAATCTTGTAAAGCCACTAGTACGCGCAGCGTTTCGGGCAGACCCTTAATCTAACAGGTAATTTTAAGTAGGTAAATTCTAGCAGAATTAATAGAAAGAAACTTTAGAAAATTTAATTTTGCAACACCCTGGTGTGCTTCACCAGGTGTGTGGTGTACCAACACCCACATCTGCTTCACCAGGTGTGTGGTGTACCAACACCTACATCTGCTTCACCAGGTGTGTGGTGTACCAACACCCACATCTGCTTCACCAGGTGTGTGGTGTACCAACACCTACATCTGCTTCACCAGGTGTGTGGTGTACCAACACCTACATCTGCTTCACCAGGTGTGTGGTGTACCAACACCTACATCTGCTTCACCAGGTGTGTGGTGTACCAACACCCACATCTGCTTCACCAGGTGTGTGGTGTACCAACACACACATCTGCTTCACCAGGTGTGTGGTGTACCAACACCCACATCTGCTTCACCAGGTGTGTGTGGTGTACCAACACCCACATCTGCTTCACCAGGTGTGTGTGGTGTACCAACACCCACATCTGCTTCACCAGGTGTGTGGTGTACCAACACCCACATCTGCTTCACCAGGTGTGTGTGGTGTACCAACACCCACATCTGCTTCACCAGGTGTGTGTGGTGTACCAACACCTACATCTGCTTCACCAGGTGTGTGGTGTACCAACACCCACATCTGCTTCACCAGGTGTGTGGTGTACCAACACCCACATCTGCTTCACCAGGTGTGTGGTGTACCAACACACACATCTGCTTCACCAGGTGTGTGGTGTACCAACACCCACATCTGCTTCACCAGGTGTGTGGTGTACCAACACACACATCTGCTTCACCAGGTGTGTGGTGTACCAACACCTACATCTGCTTCACCAGGTGTGTGGTGTACCAACACCTACATCTGCTTCACCAGGTGTGTGGTGTACCAACACCCACATCTGCTTCACCAGGTGTGTGGTGTACCAACACCTACATCTGCTTCACCAGGTGTGTGGTGTACCAACACACACATCTGCTTCACCAGGTGTGTGGTGTACCAACACCTACATCTGCTTCACCAGGTGTGTGGTGTACCAACACCCACATCTGCTTCACCAGGTGTGTGGTGTACCAACACCCACATCTGCTTCACCAGGTGTGTGGTGTACCAACACACACATCTGCTTCACCAGGTGTGTGGTGTATTGTGTAGCTAAATGAATGTTGGGGTTCAGTCCCTGAGCCCTTTCCACTACCGCCAAATCATCCTCCTGTTTATATAGTAGTTTTTGTAACTATGTGCAAAGATTGACTTACTAAGCAATTAGATAGTAGAATTTTGTACTATTCATTTTATAGTCCGAAAAAATTAAGCTAAAAAATAAACTTAAATATTCCTAGGCCTAGTATAGCACACATATGTACTATATTAAGCCTCATATATCGTGTATTAGGCCTAGGAAGGTTAGGTTAGGTTAGTTTGCCTTTGCAACATAAACAGAAAATCTTTTCCGGTTTCTCCAAATTCAATAGTACCGATTTCTACTTTCTAATTGCGTTGTAAGACGGTATATGTACTATGATCCTCAATCGTTACTGTAAATACTACCAGGACAGGAGAATGGGTTACTGCCGCCCACAGGATGAGTATGGGGTGCATAATAAATGAACTAAACTAACTCTACGTAGCATTTAGATTATGGCTGAGTATTTTCTACTTCCTGTTCTTTATCTTTCTCTAATTAAGGAAGAAGTCTTCATCCTGTGTACCGCTGCAGGAGTCTTCTCTCTACTGCTCCTATCCCCACAGTTTGGGATAGTCGCGGGAGCAACACAGGATGGAGGAGGAAGATAAGGTAATTATCAGAAAAAAAGCGCTAAGCCAGTATCGTTAAGGCACTATAAGGAGCCCAACCGCGTGGGCCATCGAGGATAGAACGAATACCCTGCAAGAAGCGAAGTCGTCGCTCTACCGACTAGGTCAAGTAGTTGGGAGAATGGAGAACTTTTCTTCGAATCGGGGGAAAAAAAATATTTATTTATTTATTTATTTATGTACAAGAAGGTACATTGGGATTGTGAGAATACATAGCATAGTATTTACAATCTTGCAAAGCCACTAGTACGCGCAGCGTTTCGGGCAGGTCCTTAATCTAACAGATAATTTTAAGTAGGTAAATTCTAGCAGAATTAATAAAATAATAACAAATACATTGCAAGAAAAAAAATGAGACGAGAGAAATTAGCAAGTATATTAAAGCACATTGGTATATTAAAGCTCTGACTGATTACATTGACAGCTTGATGGGTAATTTAAACAACATTAATAGACACCATACAGCAGATTGACTGCTGATTGACATACAGCAGATTATATTAGAGTATAATAAGCGCAAGCCTAACGCATGGGTAGCCATTAGCAGAATAGCTGCAGGCGCCATGCTGGCGAACATTTGGATAACCTTTTACAACTAAACACAAAATATCCATCAGAATGTTGTAGAGACCCCCCCCCCCAGACTGCTGCCCCCAACTGGGAACTTTCACCTTTATCTCAGCCTACGAGGACATGTAGAAAGAACTGGGCGTCACCCTCACGTAAGGAGAGAGGGCATAATACAAATGAAGATTAAAAGTAAAATTACCCAATGCAGGCGATGAGTCACAATAACGTGGCTGAAGTATGTTGACCAGACAACACACTAGAAGGTGAAGGGACGACGACGTTTCGGTCCGTCCTGGACCATTCTCAAATCGATTGTAGTCTATATGTGTGTGTGTAGAATTACCCAAGTTTAAACAACTGCAATGTACAAAGCGAGGACGAATAGAGCGATGGAACATGATTGGAAACCAAAAGACAATCGTCTGTGAAATGCAGTAGAGAATGAAGAAGTTGAAGCTTCTTATTTTAAATGCACTAAACTACAACACGCTCGAGAGGCGGGGCTTAGGAGCTAACAATGTAGGCAAATGCATCTTAGTGAGTGTACACACACTCCATATCCAGCTATCAGTGGTCACATCCTGGATGGGTTGCGGATGGGGATGGGGAAAGAGGATGGGGGTGTGTGTGTGTGTGTGTGTGTGTTTCTGGTGCTTCCTATACTGTGTCAGTTTGTGGGTCTCAGCGCTGCCTTGGTGTTTCCAGGAGCTTACTGGGCCCAACACGACACCGTCTGCGGTAACTGTTGATAGACTATAACCCCCTTGAACAAGACCACCAAGACGCCCGCTCTCAGCACAGGCAAGGACTATCGTCCCATTCCTGGGGGTGTAGTCGACACAGCTCATCTTACGAGGTAACAAAAGATCACCCACATTTGCCTGCATAGTTGTAAATTGATTAGGAAGTTTATGGGGCATAGTTTATTGTTCAGAAAACACCGATTTATACCGACCAAGAAATAATAATATTATAAATTAATTTTGTCGGGGCTGCTTTGTACACTGGCTGCTGTACACTGACAGGCAGCCAGTGTACATATAGATGTTAAGCTTATATGGAGGTGCAACTCAAACAAGGAAGAGAACGAAGAACAAAATCGATTGCAATCAGTTGTGAGTGTTGTGTAAATCGATTTTCATTCCTAAACAGAGGCTTGGCGGCTGTATTTTAAGGAACATTTGGCCCTTGCTTATTAGGACGAACCGTAAAATGTAAAAAAAAAATATTCATATTGGCAAATCGAGACTAGAATCGAACAACTCAGGATCCTCGACTTCATTGTTTGCTGACTAGTTCAAGTACATTTATTGACACAATAAAATATATCTCATACGGATGGAGTAGCCTAGGCTATTTCTACCCTCCAGACTGACTAGTATCCTGAAAGTAGGCTGTTACAATTCTTTATATTTCTACAATTTACATTTTTATAAATATTTTAAGAACAGGTGCTGGTGTGACCATGGGCTCCAAACTGAGCCGAGGCCGAGAGCCCAAGCTCAACCACGGTACGTTATTTCTCGCACTTTTCTCTTTGGATAATGCCGCGTGTTACCCTTTTCTGTCTATTAATAATGCTTGTGATCTTCCTGTGTGTCTGGATAATGCTTATTGTAACCTGCTTTTGTCTGGATAACGTGTTGATGTTTCATTTTCTCTGGACAGTGATTACTGGTGTGGATAATATTTTTTCTGTTTCAATTTGTAAATAAAGCTCGTTCATTATGCCTCTTCTTCGATATCCGTGGATAATATTTGTTGTAACTCCCTCTCTTTATTCGTGGATAATGTTTATACGAGCCCCTCATCCCTGGATAATGCTTCTTTTATTCCGCTTGTGTGGATAAAGCGTGTTCTAATGCCTCTATGTTTAGGAAAAACCGCTTGTTATAGCTTTTCTTTGCTTAGTGATAATGGCCGCTACTGTCAATGCTAGATTGATTGATGAAGATTAAGCCACCCAAAAGGTGGCACGGGCATGAATAGCCCGTAAGTGGTGGCCCTTTTGAGCCATTACCAGTATCAATAGATGATACTGGAGATCTGTGGAGGTGCGACTGCACCCTGCGTGACGGGAGATGTCTCCCGTTGTCAATGCTAGTTGTAAAAGTTTCTTTATATGTAAATTAAGGGCAGGTTTAGGGGAGGAGTTCCTGGGGTGAGCCCGGATGTCTTCACCCCCTTCTACTCTGGCAACCCCCACCCTCTTCCTCTCTTGTTTCACTGTCTTCCTTCTCTTCCCATCTCCCACCCTCTCCTTCCTTTCTCTTATTTTCGACCTGAGCCTTGTCCCCCCTCCACCTTTCCTCACATTTCCCACTCTCTCAATCCCCCCTCCCTCCATCCTCTCCCTCTGCTCCTCTCTTTTTTTAATTTTATTTTACGTTCCTTTGATTGCAGAAAAGACAGAAAATGGAGACCAAGCAACTAATGAGAGAGATAAAAATAAAGAGGAAGAAACACTGGAGAATAAAAAGAACCTGACAGAAAGCAAAGGCAACGAAGGAGGTACCGCAGACAAGGAAGGAGGTACCGCAGACAAGGAAGGAGGTACCGCAGACAAAGGAGGTACCGCAGACAAGGAAGGAGATACCGCAGACAAGGAAGGAGGTACAGCAGAGAAGGAAGGAGGTACAGCAGAGAAGGAGGTGAAGACGGTGATAGCCCTGTTGATAGCCACTCGAAGGTTCGTTAAGCGGACGCCTCGTGAAGTCTCAGTCGCTAAGGGAGACAAACTGCTGCTCTTGAACAAGAAGTAAGTTTGGGTCGAACATGTTAGCTCACGGACCCTGTCTTTAGCAATGGTAGTTCTTAGTTCACTACAGGATATATATTCGAAGTTTCCCCTGTTGTATTTTCTTGCTATAATTAATAACCAGCTTCCATTTTTCTCTAGTAAGTCAGAACAGAAACCCAATTCCAAACGGAGATCATGTGTAATGAGTTACAACGAAAGTGGCCCCTTGTTGATCTAACAATACGACTCCTCTAATAGTACATCGCATTACGTACGTATAAATCCTCCAAGGCCAAAAACTGATGTACTAAAACTCAGAGGCTCGCAAAATTGATGTGGTTCCGTTTTCTGTTCGTGGTTATGTTAGGTTCGGACAGCTTAGTACATCAGTTTAGTGACGTTGTGAACTCTCGAGAGAAGACGGGCTGCTTAAACACCCAGAGATGGCTATAGTATCTTTATTCTAACCGTTAGAATGCTGGTTAGGTTGTTGAGCTTGTGTTATGCCCTTTAGTGTATCAATAGTACAAAACGTGGAAGTGCACAAATCCACGTTTTCTACATTACATTCATTGCCACTATAGGCAACCCGTCCTCAGACAAGGTCCAGTCCATCCAGCGGTCGACCCCAAAGACGTATTCATCTATTTTAACATGCTGTTCATTCAAAATACGAGTTTTCGCAAATATAAATTAATACTATTTTGTATTAGCATATTGTGCATATTTAGGCACTGGTTAGGTTAGGTTTTTAGGTTCTGTTGGCGATTATTTGTATTTATAGTACGTGGGTGAAGCATTTACAGCGTTGTGGTTCGAACAGAGGACGTGAGCGAAGCCCTTGTCTGGAAGTGTTCGGACGTCATCAGTTGTGAGACGTGTGTAAACCGTTTTTCATTCATAAACAGGGGGTTTGGCGGGTACATGGAATGGACTTCGGGCTTTGTGTATGAGGACGGGGTTCGTGTAAGCCTTACTGTAAGTACAATTATCTTTGGAGGATAGGTTGAAACCTGTGGCTTCAGAACCGCAGTCTTCCTGGCTCATCTAAAGCATTGTCAACAAACGCGTTTCCAGCGTTCATACCAAGCATTCTCCTCTAGCCTCAATATTGGCTCCCTCTAACCGCTCATCTACCCTCACTGCTACACCCCCTAGCCCACCCTTATCTACCATGACAGAGCACACCCCTTCCCCCCTCACACCAAATATACATGAGTTTTCTTACTTCCTCTCCTACAGGAACCGCGACTGGTGGACGGTGCAGGTGATCAAGAATCGCCAGCAAGGTTACGTACCTAGATCGGTGGTGGCTCGCCTCCCCACTGCCGGGGCCATCAGGTCCCAGGCTAAGGCCATGCTGGTGCAGGTCAACGACCCGAAGCCCAAGGTCACGATCGCCAAGGCTGAAGATGTCACCGAGAAGCAGACACTTCCCCAAGCTGAGCCCGGGACAACACGTCACTCTGGGAGTAACAACGGGAGTGCGGCAGGCTCCGAACCCAAAAACGAGACTGAGAACGAGTCACAGAGACTTTCCAAGACTGAGAACGAGTTACAGAGACTTTCCAAGACTGAGAACGAGTCGCATGAGCCCGTCCTTATAAACAATGGCTAAATACAAGTTAATCATCCCGTTCTCATCAACAAAGGTTGATGCTTCTTAATCCAGCCGCCAACTCCCCTGTTTATGAATGAAAAACGATCTATACACGACTTATGAATGTACTTTTCTGGAGCAGAGCGTCGCTAACCTGTGCTAAAGTCGCACGGCTGTAAATGCTTCACCCACGAACTACACAAATAATCGCCAACAGAACATAAACACCCAGAATAACCTAGCCTAACTACGCCTAAATATACATCGAATTTTATTGTATAATAATATTAATCAATATATGAGGAAAAAACTATTTTTATTACACTGTTTCAATTCATGATAGCGTCTTGGTGGGACGGCTGCTGCTTATGCTAAACCTAAGGGTGGGGGGCGCCGCGCCAGTGATCTGCTGTAGCTTGGGGGGGGGGGGGGGGGGGCCGCTGCCCCCCTGCCCCCACCAGGCAATCCAATGTTATGTATTACATTGTTATTTTACACAAGGTAGCATTTTCACCAATGTAAGTCCCCCATTGTTAGTCTTTCTGGAAGTTACACAATATTAAACTTACCCTTGTTACACTTGCTAAGTTTAATATACTGTACAAGGTTAATATCACGATGTTAACGTCGTCATTTTAATTCAAGTACGGTGTATTGTTAACTTACAACGTTAATGTTATAAAGTTATTTTACCCAGGGTAAAACTTTCCCCTATGTTTATTACCTTCAAATTTATATAATTTTTAATTAAAGTTATTACTAATTAAATTTATTAATAAACTGTTATCGCCATAGCGTGTTTAAATCACCAAGACGAAAAAAAAACTTTACTGAGGACGGGCTGTCCACGAACTACTCTTTACATACAAATAATTGTCAATAGAAACTAAATACCCATGTCTAATTATGCATCAAATTCTGATAATATATTAAGGTTATTTTATATTTCTAAAAACACACCTTTTACAACATACTGAACAAACGAATACCTTTTGGGGGGGGGGGGGGTCGATCTCATGCAGTTTGGATACCATAGACTGAGAATGAGTGATAAGCCTGTTGTTTAATATTTAGCTACTGGGAACAAAAAGTTGCAAGTAGCACGGGCTATGGTGAGCCCGTAGTGGACTTACCTGGCACAGGAGCGGGGCTGTAACCAGTAGCACGGGCTATGGTGAGCCAGTATTGGACTTACCTGGCACAGGAGCGGCTGGGATGGGGACAAGGAGCTGATATATTAAGACAGGAAGCTGAGATATGAGGAACTAAAAATGAGGATAAAAATCTAGGGTATTAGGACAGACTAAAGGAGCGATGCTCAAGCATTTGAGCTAACGGGGATCTAACGTAGACCCGTACGCCATCACTCTAATGTAATATAAACATGTAGTTAGGTTAAGTTGAGATTTAATAACATTGAGACTAAGGTAAAAAGTAGATTAGGGTAGCAGAGCTACAAAGAGGATAGTGGTGATGATAGTAGTGGTGATTGTGGTAGTGGAGACATGGATAGTACTGATGGTGGTAGTACAATAGTGTTGTTTGGTACAGAACAGTGGTAGTACAAAAGAGTGGTAGTGGTGATAGTACAGGAGAATGGCAGTTGTGATGGTGGTAGTATAGGAGTGGTGGTAGTGGTAGTAGTAGTAGTGGTGGTGGTAATGGTAGTGATGGTAGAAGTGGTGGTGTTGGTAGTGGCAGTGGTGGTAGTGATGGTGGTGGTGGTATGACAGCTGAATATAAACACTCGTGATAACGAAGACCATTTTTACAGTGACTAAAATATCACTCATCCGTTGCCACCAAATTATACACCACTGTACTGCTTGGTACACCACTGTACTGCTTGGTACACCACTGTACTGCTTGGTACACCACTGTACTGCTTGGTACACCACTGTACTACATGGTACACCACTGTACTACATGGTACACTACTGTACTGCATGGTACACCACTGTACTGCATGGTACACCACTGTACTACATGGTACACCACTGTACTACATGGTACACCACTGTACTACATGGTACACCACTGTACTGCTTGGTACACCACTGTACTGCTTGGTACACCACTGTACTGCTTGGTACACCACTGTACTGCTTGGTACACCACTGTACTGCTTGGTACACCACTGTACTGCTTGGTACACCACTGTACTACATGGTACACCACTGTACTGCATGGTACATCACTGTACTACATGGTACACCACTGTACTGCATGGTACACCACTGTACAACATGGTACAGTGGTGTACCATGTGGGTTTCAGTCCCTGAGTTCATTATGTGCCTCTGTAACCCTAACAATCATATACGTCAGTCCCCATATACAAAAACAGTCCTCATCGCGCAGTGGTAAAGCACTCGTCTGGCGCTTCGCGAGTGCATTGGCCTCGGTTCGTATCCTGGCCAGAAAGGATTGCCTGGGTGCCAATCCTTAGCTGTAGCCTCTTTTCACCCAGCAGTAAATGGGTACCTGGTTGTTGAACGATTTGGCAGGTTGTATTCCAGGGGAAAATTGGGATTAAGGATCTGCCCAAAATGTTATGCATGCTAATGGCTTTACAAGAATGTAAGAACTCTTGTATATACAGTACAGTATAAATAAAATAAAACAATTAAAAAAATAAAAATCATGAAGCTGCTTCATTATTTATTGAACTTTTCATTATATTCTAGCACAACAGTATACAAAATCTTTAGTATTTATGAATTACATCACCTCATTTCCTTACCCACCAGTGTAATAAGGTAAACCATTGTAAAATTAAACTACAGGGTATAATTAACATCCACTTAATGACACTGTATTGTAAACCAGTTTTGTAGAAAAGTACAATTTGATCTATAGCAAGCAATTGTAAAAAAGCGTCAAGCCAGTTTGTCTATACAGCACTTCAATGCACACCTCAATCAAAGGTATCTAAATAGTGTACTATTCAATATGCAAGAATAATCCCAAAAGCATGTGATTCAGTTAAATCCAAGAATCCACACTAGAAATGAAACTAAAATTTTTGTTTCAATTTTCCTATGTGGATACTTGTACTTACTTACCTAGCTGTGCTTGCAGGGGTTGACCTCTGGCTCTTTGGTCCCACCTCTCAACTGTCATCAACTAATGTACAGGTTCCTGAGCCTATTGGGCTCTATCAAATCTACATTTGCTCTACTACTGTGCACTATTCAATATGCTAAGAAGAAATTGTATCTACAAAAAAGATGCAAATGAATTAAGTCTCTTTTAACTATTTGTAATGCTTTGTGGGTTTGCCACCAACTTCTTGTGCCTCATAAAATACCATAATCACCATTTGAGATCCAACACATGTCAAACTATTTTTCACAAGAGGAGGATATGTGATTAATAAAATACTGTTTCAATAATTATCTTTATTATTATTCTGTGGTAGGAAATATTCCAGCTACAATAAAAAACTGTGCACTGCTTGAAAGATGTTTGTCGTAATGCAAAAAATGCTTAATCCAAAGGCTCTCTCTCTCGAGACATGGAGAATTGAGCCACTGACGTGCAAGATGAAGTTTCTTTCAAGAAAAGGATAAAAACACTTGGCAAGAACTCTTTAATTGACAAGAATGTGATTCACGTGTAGCAATAAGCACTGCAAGATGTGAATTAACAACTTGCACATGTCGTAAATAACAAGAAAACTTGTATAGAGCAGCATCGCCTCCATAAAGAGGCACTGACATTTCTTACCACTGTGTTTACAATATATTGTGTTATTATTTGTTAAACTCACTACCCTGACTATCATACTTCCCTTTCAACAAGCTTATTGTTTTACATGATAATGCCAAACGTTGGTCACAGAAAAAAATTAATTACAAATGTGTTATGTACCACAAACAATCTACACATTACAAATGTGTTACATATCACAAACAATCTACACATCACAAAATAGACAGCAGTGTCAGCATGAATCACACTGCGTTTTTTTCAATCACAGATGAAAAAGTAACAATAGCAGTAAAACAGGCTAAATACAAGAGAAAGTCACTTAATATAACATTAAGAAATGCTTACAACCTAAAGACAGAAATGAAAGATTGACTTTACATGAATGTCATTATAAAATCACTTAAACTAAACTCCTGACCCAAGGCAAAAATATGTCATACTTACAGTCACTAACAAACAAACCATGAAATTGTTGTGTATTTTTGCCTAATGCAGAAAATGCATAAGGAAATGCTACACTTAAATACCACACTGTTAAACAAACAAACCCACACCCCCACAAAAAAATGTCAAGTTCCTATATCCAACATTTTAAAACATATCGGTTCTGGATACTTCAAGTGTGGAGATACCATTATTCTAAAGATTTTTGGGTGAGGTCATGCCATATGACATTGCCATCTGATTTTTCTAATGCCTGAAGAGACATTTCCCAGAGTACAATAAGTGTCAGCTAGAGTGACTTTGCTAATTTCTCCATAGCAAAAATAACAGCATAAATTAAATATAAATTATAATTAATAAATTATATATTAAATTAATAGCATATTTAAACGAGCATAGCATAAGAGTAATACTTGTTTTTTGTAGTACTGTAGTACTACCACAGAGTGCACATCTTACCTTTGTCAAATATGCCAACGTGAACATGGCACATACGAAGGACTTCACAAAGAAAGAACCAAAGCCTTCAAAACCCTCAGCAAAGACCATATAGAATCTTGCACCACATCCAAAAATGGTAAAAAGTGTTAATAAAGATACCCTATAATTACACGGGCAACTTGTTAATATACAGAACTAATAATTAACTGGTGTGTGTGTCAATTCATAATTAGCAAGTTGCAAAGGTGGCAAAAGGCAGTTGGTCACTGCCATTTTAGTGCCTTGGCAACAACTGTACCATTCAATATTATTAATCTACCTTAAATACACAATGATGAGCAAATGCATAAATAGAACAATACAGTGCTTCAAAATGCACAAAATAGAAATTATGGTCAGAAGGACTACATCAATCAATAATGATACCAAGTTAACAATACAAAATACATTAAGCTATAAATAAGTACAAATTTAGCAACCAACAGTTTAAATGTAAGTCTACATACAGTGTAAAGATTTACATTTTATAATATACATGAAACTTACATTATGTGTCATGCCCTCATATGAACATACATACTGTATATATACACACACACAAACATATAATAATAATAATAATAATATACTGTACTTGTGAAACCTTGAAAATGCAGAGGCTAAAAACAAAGCCCGCCTCCTAGCAGTAACAGCACCCCATGCCGGGGATTTTTTTATTTGCTGTGCCCAATGCAGCCCTGGAAACTCGCCTCAATCATGATGCTCTCCACATTGGATTTGCCCTTCCCCTAGCCACCCCCATTCTCACTGAACATTAGTGCATCTGCGGAATCGCGATGGCAGACCAATATGGTAGTCATGTTCTGGTATGTCGTAAATTACAGGCTAAGATTGTAAGACATGAAGTCAACGGCATCATCAAGAGAACCCTTACCACAGCCCTCTGCCCAGCACAAAGAAAACACACACCTTTTCAGACCCAATGAACCTCATTAGTGCCCAGATGGGGGTCACCTTGCTCCCTTGAAAGGATGGTAAACAAGTGTGCGGGACAACACATGCACTTCCTCACTACCCAGTATCTACCTCCAATACAGCACAAGTGAAGAGGATGAAGCTGCTTCTTTCAGGGAAACGCAGAAAGCCATCAAATACAGAAGTATGGCACACTGCTATAGCTTTGTTCCAATCGGTTTGGAGACCCTTGGTTTGTGGG